GGGTTGCGTTTTCCACCCCTTACAACCATGGGGTAAACCAAATAAATTACTGGCTAAGTGTCTTTTTGGTAGTACAAAACGTCAGGTTAATTTCAATATTGTAACTTTTTCAGTGCTTGTGAAAAAAATTGTTATACAAATTTTATGTACCCGTCTTAAGAGGCTCCCATGAAGTTTCTTTATATGATAGATCCTATCTTTTTTTCGATGAGGAATCACCTCTTCAAATGTTTTACACTTATTCAGTTACACCGTGTATACCTAATTGTTATTTTTCAGCTAATATTTTCAATTTCTCACAGATTCTTTCAAGGATTTCAAATCAATTTAGATCATATTAGACAATGGAAGTCTGAACTAATGAAATCGATCAATGTCTATACGCATGCTTCACTCGAATCCAGGTCCTCTGGCTGAGACACCGCAGAACAGGCAGCATGGAGCCAGTTGCCACATGATCTACAACGCCACCACAGTTCATCTGGTGCCCCAGTTTTCACACATGTTGCACATAAGTCGTTCTTTTTCATAAGCTCCGCATCATGTTGTTGTTTTGTTGTTGTTGTTTTTAACTTTCTTCTTGTCCCACTTTTCTTTCTTCTCCTTCAAAGATTCCTCCAGCGGAGTGGACGTTAGTATTTGAGATTTTTGTTTCCTTCTCTCAGAGCGAGATTTTTCTGTTAGTTGGGTTGTCGGATGAAAGCCTTCAAAAGATTTGCAGTTTAATTGAACGGTCTTGTCTTCATCATCGATGGCGTTATCGTCGAATACTTCTGTTATTGCTGACTATTACTGGGATATGTCCTTCATTGACGCCTCTTTTTCTATGACTGGCGGTGTAACCTGACGCATATCGATTTTATTACATCTGATTGGTACCTACGATGGGTCTGGATCTCTATTTGTTCCGGGCATCGGATCAAAATAAGTTATTTGTTCGGAAAACTTCTCCAGTTCGGCTTCTGCCTGAATATAGAAATTTGGTTCTTCTGGTATTTCAGTAAACTCATCTTTCCCAAATACGTTTCTATTTCACGGAAAGATAGTTGTATTTTTAAATCCGCTCGAGCCTTTTTCTTTGGAAGTAATACGATTGTACGCTTTAGCAAAGAGCTCTGCAACGTCCGTCACCCCAATTGTGTTATAATGATAGGATTCTATATGAAGATCGCATTCTTTGCTATATACTGTCTTCAATGAGCTGAAAAACGTGACGTCCAGGGGTTGAAGCCGGTGAGAAGTGTGTGGAAGTTAAGAAACAAGAACGATCTTGTTTCAACGACAGAATTTATAGGACTGCAAGGAGGAATGTGTGGTATGGTTGTCTAAAACAACTAACATAAGCTCTTCCGTAGAAGCATTTACACATTTAGCGAAATGGTGTAACCATTCCAAGGCTTCAGTGATCCATCCTGATTTTGAGCAGCGGTAGATTGCATCTATGGGTCCATTTTTTCCAAAGCATTATTCAAACGCTCGCGTTTAAAAATAAACATGGGAGGCACGAAGTCACCTGCGGCACTCATGCAGCACACAACAGTAGTTTCGCCACTGGTAATCACACCTACCTGTTTTCAGCCCTTTTCTGCATTCCACTAATTCCAGTCTCATCTACGTTATAAATGCGTCTTGCAGAAAATTTATATTTTTCAAAGACCAGTTCTAAATATTTGTAAAATAGGTTCACATCCTTTCGATTAAATGCCATTACCCGGTTGAGACTCGTAGCTACGGGTCATCTTGAAGAAATTCGTGGATTTCGAGCTAAAAATCCAGGCAGCCAATCTTTACCGCAGCTTTTCTTTTCAAGATTAAAATTATGTCGTAAGTTTTTTGCAAAGGTATATTCGAAAGCAAGCTCTTTGATTTTAGTTGGTGTTAATCCATAGTACGTTTGACAATTTTAAAATGTGATTGGCCAGTTCTGTTTCCTGGTCGACATTTAAAACAGGCTTCCTTCCTAATTTTATTTTCTTACTAGGATATCTGTTTCATAATCTGTCGCACAACGTAACATATGGCACGCCATTCAATTTTGCTGCCTTTCTGATGGAGTGTGTCTGTTGATTAACCGCCTTGATAGCCCGCTTCATGTCTTCCTCTGACCATGCAGAGCCATTTGTCTTGACTACGAGAATATTTTTTATTAGACATCTGCAAAGAATAAAATTCAATAAGAGTAAAATCGGTCAAAGGCGGGTAATATCGATCATACTGACCGATATTACCCGCCGCGAGAACGCCATTGCTTTGACATAAATATCTCCTAGCCTCAAAGAAGTAAAATTTTCGTAAATACTACATAGAATACCTTGGGGTACCATGCAACTATTAGTGCTAAAGTAGCTTAGGATTTTCAAAAATTTACAAATACATACCTTATCCAATGAACCGAAAATAAAACCAAAAACTGCATAAAAATTATTTATGGACATAGGTACACTACACACTCGGCGTTACAATGAAACTACCCGTTGTTGATGTTGGTAATTTGCATCTACCTTAAGAGAATAGTAGCACATTATGTACCATTTTATAGGTTAGTAAGGTTGCGTAAAATTAGGGTGATCGATATTAGACACCGATTGATATTCGACTCCGCTCCCAGATGTATAGGGTCTTTCATTAAGCGCTTCATATCTTCAAAAAATAAATCAAAGTGTGTGCGAGATATCATCAACATTTTGAAAGACCTATTGATGCCGTTATGTGTGGAATATAACACCGTTCAAACGTTCAATTTTCCATGACTCCGGCGCATACATCAGGCTGAATTTGACCGATGGCATGGGTTATGTTGGCTTTGAGAACCGCTGTGGTTTGTAGCTCATTTGCATACACCTGAGACTTGAGAAAACCCCACAAGAAAAACTCTAACGGGGTCGAATCGCACGATCTCGGTAGCCAGTTCACATCACCTCCACGTGAGATCACCATGCCCTCAAACGGCTCGTGCAGAATATCCAATGTGCCATGAGCTGTATGTCACGTAGCGCCGTTCTGTTGAAACCACATGTCATTGGTATCCAGATCATCCAAGTCAGGTCAGGTCAGGTCAGGTCAGGCCAGATCTATAGTGATTGCTGTTGACAGTGAGGGCCTGGCCAACGCCGTTAACAAAAAAATATAGACCGATTACGTACAGCGGACATACTTGATCGGATAGAATCCAACGTCCTTCGTGGTATTAGCCAGGGGAGTAGTTGCTTTTCAATAGGTGTCAGTCCATTAACCTACAGGGTAGGGCCTGAACGAATTGTTGCTTCAGATGATTTGATTTATTGCCAGTCTTCAAGTATGTCCATTGACTATATGGAAAAATTTTGGATATGCGGTTGGTTACATCGTTCACAGGCAGATGGGGCGATGACAAACCTGTTGTTTGTTGTTCGCTTCACCCTAGTTCGAGGAATGATACTCTGAAGGAATTCCATTTTCAATTATCGAAAAGCATCGACTTTATATGTTGATGATAGACACGACCTTACACTGACGAGTTGCCAAACAGCCCGAAACCGGTCTGCAAGTTTGTTCCAATAATTGAAAATCTATTGCGGCAGTTGTATCGCCAACAGCATATTCAGGAATAACTTCAGTGAAGACTCGTGCATTTTTTTTGTCATGTCATTCCATTAACCTACAGTGTAGGGAGTTGAGATCGGCCTGAACAGACAAACCTGTTGTTTGTTGTTCGCTTCACCCTAGTTCGAGGAATGATACTCTGAAGGAATTCCATTTTCAATTATCGAAAAGCATCGACTTTATGTTGATGATAGACACTACCTTACACTGACGAGTGGCCAAACAGCCCGAAACCGGTCTGCAAGTTTGTTCCAATAATTGAAAATCTTTTGCGGCAGTTGTATTGCCAACAGCATATTCAGGAATAACTTCAGTGAAGACTCGTGCATTTTTTTGTCATATCATTCCATTAACCTACAGTGTAGGGAGTTGAGATGACTTCATCACACTTTGTGTAATGTTAGCAGAAATCGTTTTTCCCCATTCAATATTTGTATTATCTGTTGAACAAATCGGTTCTGTATGAGGACTCAGTTTTAACCATTGAGGACCATCCCACAATTTTTATTTATTCAATACATTCGCCGTTCATCTCTGTTACGCAATATCGGCTGGATATAAATCATAAAATATTAGGTTGTTTCACAAGTCCATTTTTATGAGTTTCTTTTAAACTGTAATAAGTATCTTAGTGAATACTTATTCAATTTAGTCGAAATAAGCGTCAGTTGAATCAGTGAATTTTTGCCGACATAACACAAGTCAATTAATTTCGTCATCATACAAATTAAGTGCTCGGAATTCGATGAAGTCGACGAGGCCGTTTTTGTCTGGTCCTGATGAGCGAAGGTTCTACCGGTGAGAACGTTATCGAAGTGCTTGAAAAGATGGTAGTCGGTTGGCCAGAGGTCTGGGGAGTATGTGATATTTTTGGTGACTGTCTAGATTGAGCCTGAATGATTTGTAGAACGACGTCCTCATTTGTTTTTGTTCTAAGAAATACACAAGAGCATGTGCCGCTTTGTTGGCATCGCAGAATAAATGAATAGAATCATTTTCCGGAATGAAATTATTCAAATTATTAAGCGATCTATGAATTTCGTATACATTTAGGAAATGTTATTGTTTCATCCACTTTTAAAATATAACGATTATATCATTTGGTAATTCTTCATCCCAACTAATTTTTACTGTACATATTGACTTTAAAATTTTGGAAACTTCATCGTATGTAGGTTCCAAAATTTTAAAAATTTATAATCCTAGCCAAGCATTAAAATATAGTTCTCATATCGATTCATTTCTATTATACTGACACTTATTTAATGGTGTAAATGAGAGCGAAGCCGCGTGCAAAAGCTAGTATTATATGCATTACGAGATGATTGATAACCACCAAAAACACCTTGTATAATATTTTCCTTTCCTGGTGGTTCAAAATTCAAATATTTTGCACATTTTGTGAACCGGAATCCAGCAAAGCCCTGGTTTTGATTATTTTTCACTTTGACAATGAAAGTTTGCAAAAGTGTAACTTCTGAAAAACTAGTGTCAACACATTTTCACACTTTTGTTTGGAATTTTCATCTGTTTGAACCCTTTTGGAACTTTCGAAATTTGATACCAAACAGTTATTGGACTACAATAAGGATGAACTACGATGTCTAACAGGCCTTCTTACAGGTCACTATCATTTGAATCATCATATGCAGAGACTCGGACTGTCAGAAGACAGTGTGAGTCGCCTCTGATTGGAAAATGATGAAACAGCAGAACACAGCAGAGCAATAGGTGTGAGCCTCAATAAACCCTTGCGGGTTGCGGTGGAGGGTCGAATAGACCCACTCACTTTGGACCTAACCTAACCTAACCTTTTTCAAATCTAGATCAGAGCACAGTATAGGAAATTATGTTGGTGGGCACAATGAACATCTAACAAAAGCTTTGCAGTTTTTCCTACATGATTGGTTCTCAAACAGAAGAAAATCTGTTTTTCCATTAATCAACTGTCGCCTCCACACGAACGACAACTCTCAGAAGTTGAGATCTTACCTTTTAACGTGTGACTCCTAACACGGTTGCAGAATCATCCCAGCTTCAACCAGATAAATTCTCTCGAGAGCGGGAATCGAACCCACGGCCTTCCGATTGTGAGTCGGGCGCACTACCACCGCGGTCAATTCCACAACTTTTCTTTCCATAACTTTCGCTGTTTCTCTTTTAAGACAGTTTTTGTGCAGCAAAACAATCTTGACTTTCATGGGTGATATCATTACAAAATTTACAGTTTGGTTTCTTACCTTTGGAGGATTATTTTGCGTTAATTGTATACAATGCTGCAGTAGGAATAGAGATCAGGCTCACCTTGGTGTAGACTACCATGTCTTTCCGAAATATGTTACTGATGTTTTTAATTTTTTTTCAATTATAAAAAATCTTCTTACATGTAACTTCAAAAAAATGCCCTGAAATAAAACGGTGTTCAGAGTGAATAATTGAAAATAAACTTTTTAAGTCTAACAAAGAGTCACCCTCAACACTATAATCTGAAATCGCATCGATTCCCCGTGATACCTAATACTTTTTCCTTATGAAGGATCAACTGCATTTATAATTTTTTTTACAATAACTCGATCTCAAATATATGTTTTTCAGATATTTTGTTCGGTTTGCTGGAATCAACATATTTCCGAATTAGACACAAATTTGTCTGTGTTAGTGAAAGAAATAGAAGAGTCTGGAATGAGACTGAAACACAAAGCGGATAATTTTGCAAGCCGTTGCGATCAACTGGAGGAAACCATCAAAGAAATTGTTGAAGAAAAAATCAGTAAAATCAGAAAAATGGAAGAGAGCGTACTGAACGATGTATCAGCAATAAAAACACAAAGCGATGTCCTCTATGAAAATATAAAAACCCGAATGGATTTACTGAAGAACAAGATTCAATCGAACATAAATGAAACTTACGTCAGAAGCAATAAAGTGAGTACTTATATTCAATTTATTTTTTGATGAGGTTCGAAAGTATAAAGGATTATTTGTATATTATGAAGTATCCATAGTTATTTCGCAAGTAATGAATCCTAAAATAAAGGAATTATTGAACGAAAATCATTTCATGAGAAGCAAATCAGCGTTTTTATCGTTAATGTTGTTGATTAACTTCTGAAACATTCGATGTAATTTTTTTCAACGACAAAACACTAGCACTACAGGAAAATCCTTAAGTCACTTTAAGAGCGTTGGATTTGAACCGCTGGAGACTAAATTCATTTGGAAAAACGTTATCAGGAAGTTCATTCCACATAACCGCAGTTCTCCAAATGAAAGAGTTCCTGAACAATAAAGTTCAAGGTGTACTGAGAACTTCAAAATGATGAGTAGCCACCGTCCGTTGCCTATTTCTGATATGTACCCCCAACCAGCAAAGTTGTTTTATAATTCCATGGTGATAAAGCAAGGTATGCTTCACAGACAGTATTCAGAAGTAACTCCTCGAATAACTAATAACTACTGTCATATAGACGGTGTCCCATAAAAGATACATAACTCTGGTTTTTTCACACTTTTTGTGACAACTTGTTTGAATGAAAATAACCCTGCTTGCTTTTTGGGTTGCATAGAACCGCTCTTGGTGGGATCAAATCTGTCAAGTCACTTAAACACTTCCCATGAAAGTATCTATAAAAGAGAGGTCATTTCCAATCATTCTTCGATGTTCCGGACTATCAAGAAGTTCGTGTCTCTAATCAGGTGAATGGCTCTTTTCTTGATGGAATCCAGCAGCTTCAGGGTATGCTTTGTATGCTCCATACATGTGAACAATACTCCAACGAAGGTCTGATCCGAACTTTATAAAGAATCAAAAGTTGCTGAAGTGTGTACAGTTTTCTGATTCGGACCAGTGTTACAAGCTTTTGAGAAGCAGCACGTGCAATTCCAGCGACATGATTGTGCCAAGACATATTGGTCTGCATTTTAACCCCCAACATACTTATCGAAGCGGAAAGCGGAATTGTTTATCCTGACATTATTATATCCTGTTTGGAGACATTCATCTTTTTGGAGAAAACTAATGCCTGGGTTTTCGTGGCATTGAATTGAACCTGGTTACTTTCACTCCAATTCGAAATCACCTCTAGTTCCTCGTTAAGATATGCAATTTCCTGATGCCGGTGAAGATGTGCATCCGCTGCTGATGTCCTGAAATCCAAATGGAATGACGAGACATGAAGTGTGCTGTCGTCAGCAAAGTAATATATTGGATTCTTGGTTTTTTTTCAATAAGTCGTTAATATGCAATAAAAAGAGGGTTGGAGACAATATGGATCCCTGGGGAACACCAGCGTTGATAGTAACAGTATTCGAGATATATCCATCGACGGCCACTTGCAGGGAACGTACTTTCAGGAAGCTGAAGAGCCATGCACACACAAAAATGATCCGATAAGCTATAGCATCGAAGTTTGACCAGCAAACCCCCATGCCACATAAGATCAAAGGCTTTAGAAACACAAGGTGTTCTTCTATTTTTGAGTAGCTGTTTCATTTCTAAGGAGCACTTTTCTCCAGATAAAAGAATATACGTTAATTCTTTGAGTTTACTTCTTTAAGAGTGGAGCTCATTGGCAATCATTATCGTCTTGTTCCATACAACTCGATGTTCACCGTCTGATTTCGAAATGTTTTCTGACAATTTTGATCCCGTTAATTTTCTATTTCTGATGCAATCTCGATAATCATTCTCACACATTTTTTTGTGGTTTTAACTTTCACCAATTTATCGTTTACCACAAGAACAAGGTATCTCATAAATTGTAACACAAGATATAACGTTAAAAAATGAAAGAAGTATATTTTTAGGTCAGAATAATTTTTGGGAAAGAAAGGTTTTGGCTTTCTACTTCTCCATCCTTATACAAAAATGAGGGAATCTTCTAAAGAAAGTAAGAAAGTAGTCAATTTGAAAAAATTAACTTTACTTATACAAAGATGTGTAGATCATGCAAAGAAGTTACGTTAAAAAAATCTAAAGAAATGAACTTTAAACGTTCAAGCCAGTCTCGAATATACCTACACAGTAGGTTAAATGGACTGACGCCTATCAGAAAACAACTACTCCCTGGCTAATACCACGAAGGGCGTTGGATTATGTCTGACAGGCGTATGTACAGGAATCTTCACAGAAAATTTCCTGCATATGCAATTGGCATTACAACTGAAAGAGTCGACCTTCAAATTTGGAACGGGCACACTTGCAGACCGGTTTCGGGCTCATTAGCCACTCATCAGTGTAAGATAGTGGCAATCATCGACCTAAAGTCAACATTAGATATTATTCACTTGTGGCTACACTTCTTCCTATTCTCGAAACACTTCTCAAATTCGAACTTTGGGACAGCTCTTACCTCTTTCAACGATGCGCTTTCAATGTAATGTATGCTTGAGAAACGACGTCGTTTTGAGGTTATCTTCATTTATGAAAATAGGAAAAAGTCACAGAGATCCATGTCTGGCGAATATGGAGGCTGAAACATCGTTATACAGTATTGTTTTTGAGCAAACATTCATGAACAAGCAATCGAGTGTGAGCAGGTACATTATCGTGATGCAAAAGCATGAATTGTATTACCACAAATCGGGGCGTTTTTTAAACTACCTCACGCAAACGGCGTTAAACTTGTAGGTAGTACTCCTCATTACCTGCTTGGTCGCGTGGCAAGAATTCATGATGTACTATGCCATTGAAATTGAGAACATATTAAGCATAACCTTGACGTCTGACCTCAGTCAACGAGACTTTTTCGGTCCTGATGAGCCAGAATACCTCCACTGGGACGATTGAGCCTCAGTTTCGAAGTCATATCCGTAAACCCATGTTTCATTACCTGTTATAACACGTTTCAGTAATTCTGCATCGTCACTGATTCCATTAAGTGACTCTCGAGCAACTTCCATTCGCCGCTGTTTTTGTTCAATATTCAAAAAGTTCGAAATAAATGTTGATGCCACGCGTTTTATACACAAAACATTCAAAAAAATTTCATGGCATGAGCCAGTCGATATGTCAACATCATTAGCGACTTCTCTAACCTAACCTAACTGTAATGTAAAGGTTCTTTCATAATGGAATGGTTGAAATTATAGATTGATGGAGTGTTCACTTTAGTCTATTGACCTTTCTGTTCTAATTCAGATTATCAATTCACCACTCGTCGAATGACGATATAGTTTACAAATCATACATAAATATATTTGCAATATTAGCAAAACATGGTTGACCTAGTTATAAGTAAGAACGATTAATGTACAGAGTGTATTTATATTGTAACAAATTAAAGAATTAACTGTCTTAAACAAATTTATTTTAACAATACTTCACTATCACAACTAATTCATTTACACAACTCAGTAACTAACGCTTAATTTATCTTCACCGTTTGTTAACCGCTCGATTCGCTTTCTTGGTACAGACTACTCTTCGGGACGAAGAGCGACGTTTTTATATCGTCAACGAACGTTCCGGATCCCTCTGCGGATTTCGGGACCCATCCGGAGTTTTCGCGGTATGCGTCATGCGTTGGCTGACTGGGACACCGGTCAGAGCCGGCTTCAGATTCATTACAATATGAATGAATATTTAAAAGAATATGTACACTTATCTAAAGGGCACTACAGACGATCGTTTCATTTACTTTTTCAACGTATTCATCGGTTGTTAATGTGCTGGGGCGTCCAGGATGCCAACTTCAACGTCTTCACGGCCGTCTTGGAAATGCTCGTACCACCAATAAACTTTAGTTTTACTCATAGCATATTCACCATAGCCCTTTGTTAATCTTTCGTACATTTTTTTTTACTCTTTATTTGATTTTGTACGCAAAATTTGATGAAAATTCTTTGCTCATGTTTCAACTAACGAAAATAGCTGAGCTCAGTGATATAAAAAATCATGAAGAAAGCCTTTAACCACCATATCCTGTCAGATAACATAAAGACAAAGTCTTCGAATACAATATTCATTCCAATCCCATAACGAACATTAATAAACAACACGTGTGGACTCCAAGAATGCTTAGCTGTGACTGTTCTCATTCAACCGATCCAGGGTTACTCGTCATCTCCTACAATCCTTAAGACTTTTACATCTCGAGCGATCATCAATGTGGCTTTCGGAAACAAAGATCAACAGGCGACCTTCTATCGTATGTCACCCATATTTGGAATAAAGCAATCGAGATACATGAAGAATCAAGAACTGTTGCGCTTGATATTTCTATGGCCTTTGACCGTGTGTGGCATGACGATTTGCTGGCCAAACTTCGATGCTATGGCTTGTAGGATCATTTTTGTGTATGGCTTCCTGAAAGAACATTCTCTGCAAGTGGCTGTGGATGGATATCTTCCGAATAATTTTACCATCAACGTTGGTGTTTCCCAGGGATATCAACGACTTATTGGAAAAAAAAACAAGAATTCTATATATTTTGCTTTGCTGACGACAGCACACTTGTCTCGTCATTCCATTTGGATTCCAGGACATCGGCTGCAGATACACATTTTCACCGGCAGCAGGAAGTTGCATATCTTAATAAGGATCTAGATGTGATTTCGCATTGTGGTGAAACCAGTCAGGTTCAATTCAATGCCACAAAAACCCAGACATCGGTTTCCTCCAAAAAGATAAATGTCTCGGAACCGAATATAATAATGTCAGGACAGACAATTCCGCTTTCTACTTCAATGAGTTAGTTGGGGATTGCCATGGACACCAATATGTCTTGACAAATTCATGTCACTGGAATTGCAAAGGCTGCTTCTCAAAAGCTTGGAACATTTTTCCGAACCAGAAAACTGTACACACCTCAGTAATTTGTTATGCTTTATAAAGCTCAGATCAGACCCTCTTTCGAGTATTGTTCTCTTGTATGAAGCTCCGCCCCTAAGCATACCCTGAAGCTGATGGATTCCATCCAGAGCCATCCACCTGATTGGAGATTTGTCTCTCTTTTATAGATACTTTCACGGGAGGTGTTCAAGTAACTTGGCACATTTGATTCCATCAAGAGCGGTACATATCAGAAATAGGCGACGGACTGTCGCTGCTCATCGTTTTGAGGTTCAACTCATTATACTTCGAAATTCATTATATAAGAACTCTTTCAGTTGGAGAACTGCGTCTATGTGGAATACACTTTCTGAGAAAGTTTTTCTAAATGGAAGCGCCTTAAGGAATGTTTGTAGTGCTTTTGTCCTTAAAAACACGTCTATAAGCTCGGCGGCTGCCACAGACAAAATAAACAATACATATATTTGAGAATTTCATCATACTTCAGATGCATGAATACTGATTTAATGAATTAAATGACAATTGGACTCTTCTATCTCTTGAAATATAAAAATTCCTGTTATTTTCCTAACATATCTCATAAATGTTTTTCAAACTCCTTCAGTGAAATATAAACCAAAGTGACATTATACTTGTTCAATAACAAATGCTTCACTGAATAAACGAATGGTATGTCTATTTGCACTGGAATAAAAAACACCTACTTGTATGTTACGGTGAACGCAGGTAAATATTGTTATACATTGGTCTTCAAAAACAATTACAATTACCATAATTAGCTGCACTTCTATAACCTCTCCATATAAGTAAAAGAGTGCTCCAAAATATTATCATGCATAGTGCACGTGACCTCCCAGTCAAGACTGCTTGTACAGAATCGCACTAAGGAGTGATCGAATTTTCTTTTTAATAATATGCGGCTGGGTATAGGAACATTATTGAGGTGGAGTGTAGGTACACAAATTAGCAGTTTCTTCAGCCGTATCAGAAATTCCGTATATGTACACACCACAGGCGCTAATCCGTAATTCACCACTCCGACCTGAATGAATTCCGCCAGCCGATTGCAATCAAATCTGATTGGCCAGCGTAAGGAGGCTTGTTTAATTCACCCAATAGATGTAAATGTGCGTGGTGATCATGCTTTGATAACGCATCTATCATTATTTGAGTTACTTTGTTTATTAGATGGACAGAGTTTAAAACTAATACCCTTAAAAGATATAACCAGCAAACCATATTCTATCCCAAAAAAATGACATTGATGGAAAATTAAATGTTGATTTATCATTAAAGACAAAATCTAAATATTTATTCAATAGAAATGTTGAATTGATTCTGATGATATAGCATTAGTAAGACTTGAAGAAAATATGAATAAAATCAGTAAAAAAATGTTTTTATGTTAAACGGTTTTATTGAAAAAAAGATAATGATGTAGATAATGTATTAAAAAAAATCAGAAGTTCCTAAGTAGCAGTCATCACACTACTCTCCTCAGCAATCTACGGTATTGATCAAACAAAAAAAAATAATAAAATCTTTGGGCGTAGTGTCACCTGAGTAGATATGTAAATACTACTTTTTTTCAATAAAACCGTACCTATAACATATCATTTTTTATTTATTTTATTTTCAAGTTTCTAATTTTGTTATTTAATTCTTCTTATTCTGTTTAGCTCATTCAATTACAAGGTAATATGTAATTCGACATTTTGTAGCTGCAACCAATTTGAATTTGCATCTTTTTCAAGTTTACTACTATTCTACTGGTCAAACCTTGTCATTTGATTCTCATATTTAGGTAGTTGTGAAAAATTATTCAATCCGCCATTGTGTAGTTGCGGCGATCTTGGGTTTACAATGATATAGAATTTATTGAAACTAAATGTATATACCAAATATCAGATTAATCTCTCAACAGGAAGGGGGTCAAACTTCAATTACGAAATGTGACCCAAACAAACAGGGCAAGCTAAATAAAACCGTTTAAAAAATTATATTATTTTCAACAGGACGCGGTCATAGCAACTAACCTCACCACGGAGACAACTATGACTACGTATACAAAAGTTGTTATGTTGATAAAGGTATACAACAATTTGCTCGATAAATATATTTTAAAAGATAATAGGTATTTTGAAGGAAACGACACCTCCATTTTTCCAGCACTCAACTCCCGAAGCAATCTGATTAGTAGTCAAATATAGGTTCCTTTTTATACAGGGTGTCCCATATAAAACTCCGCGGGCAAATATCTAAAAAATGAAAAAGAATATCCATATTTCGTGAAAACAGATAATTTTGGTATCAAAGGGTCCTCTTATTCGCGTAGAGAACCAGCACTAGGTGTCATCCGTTAGGGCGTCGCGACACCGACGCCATTTTTTTTAAATGGTTATCCAGTATTTTCAATTGAATTTTGAATTCTGCATTAAATTCTGAATTCAGCCATATATCACACTTGTAGTTTTCCTTGAATACTGATGAAAAAAGGCAATTTTATTGCGTATTATAAAGAGGGCCATGAATAAGTCAAATTGAATGCAATAATACGAGTTCAATAAAATGAATCCCTCAGTTATGATTTCATTGTCTGTTCAATTTTATATAGTTGCGTATTTCTGTACAAATTGAAATAAATGTTTCAAATTACCAAAAAAGATGTTACTTTGACCATAACTCGACTAACATGATGATAATGAAATCAATTAGTTATAACAAGAATCATTTTAGTGAGTGTTCGAACTGCCTACCTCCACGTAGAATACACATATTGCATCTTCTTAGTAATTCACGATTCGTGACAGCTAAAAGCGTATCTCGCGTTATGAAAGCACAAACATTTGTGATACTATTTTTTAAATCCTCTACATTTAGTGGACGTCGCATATAAACTAAGTATTTGATATATCCCCACAAAAAATCTAGTGGAGTAATATCTGGACTTCGAGCTGGCCATGGTATTGAAACCTCATTTCCAATCCATTTCTCATTAAAAGTATCATCCAAATATTGGGTAACCATTCTATTATTATGTGGAAGTGCCCCATCTTGTTGAAACCACATATTCAGTCGAGTTTATATTGGTAAATTCTCCAACACATGCAGAAAAATCAAGTACCTCTCCCCATTGAGAATTTCTTCGAAAAAGTCCTATCAAATAACCATCAATGACACAGACTGAAATCTCGTTTCTTGCACCCAATGAGGGTTCACGTCAGACCAATAGTGACAATTATGTTTGTTTATTATACCGTTGTTATGGAAACGGCTTTCATCACTCCATAATATTTTTTTCAGGAACTGATCATCATCATCATGAATACAGGTGGACAACCATGCAATGAAGTTCAATCTTCTATCAGCATCTCCTGAATATGAAAATATATTTCAGTTATTAAAAATGAAACATGAAGTTTATTACCTGGATGTAGTCATTGAACCAAATTTATTTTGTATGGATGGATTTTTTTTTTTAAATACGTTGTATTGACGATTTCGAAATGTCACAATTCATTGCTACTTGTCTGCTGGAACTATATGGTTCCAATAACATTTGACCTAGCACTGCAACACTGTGATTCTCATTAGTAGCCGTTTTTGGTTTTTTTCGCTTCCGTTCATTAAAACATCCATTTCGTGCCAAAGATTTGGCTAAGCCAGCGAATGATTTGTCTGGCGGTAATTTTCTGTCAGGATACCGATTAGCGTATATTCCCACTGCTTATTTTGAATTCCTTCTTGCTTCGCCATAAATACATATCATATCCAACTTTTCTGCATACACTGAATACACTTTCGTCAAATCCCACAGGTCTTCTGACAGATCGATAAATACATTATTGCATTTATTTTGACTTATTCATGGCCCTCTTTATTATACGCAATGAAATTGCCTTTTTTTATCAGTAGTCAAGGAAAACTACAGCAAGTGTGCTATATGGCTGAATTTAGAATTTTATGCAAAATTCAAAAACCAATTGAAAATACTGGGTTACCATTTAAAAAATTGGCGTCGGTATCGCGACGCCCTAACGGAAGACACCTATTGCTGGTTCTCTACGTAAATAAGAGGACCCTTTGACACCAAAATTATCTGTTTTCATTTTTTAGATATTTGCCCGCGGAGTTTTATATGGAACACCCTGTATAGAAAGGAACCTATATTTGACACCCTGTATATTCATGAACAATGAAAATGAAACCGCACTTGTCTATATGAATTAAAATCACAAAAATAACCAGAAATATTAATATTGTTTTCAGATCAGCACCTACATGAATCTGCACAGAGAGACGGCTAAACTGTTCGAAGAAATATATCACTACGGTGAAGCAAGAATAGTATTCGACTCAGAAAATATGAGAATCGATCAAGACCAAGAGGGAATCTACAACGATATCGGAGAAAATAATTCAACAAAAATAGATAGTGTAGTGAACCCCTATGAAAGCGTAAACTCTATGATCAAACATTATAAAACCCGATCTTTCCAGCCAAAGTTGTTATGGACTAAATGCCCACGGCCAGGTGCAGTCGGTATCGCTCCCTGGGACAGCACGAAGATATACGTGGCTGCCACAGATAGCAAAAATATCCTCATTCTTGATAGGTCGAAGTTCAAACTCGTTGGTAGGATAAACAACCCTGAAATGATTTGTCCAACTAATATAGCCTTCTCCTTGGAGCCTAGAGAAATTTTCGTGAGCGATAAGTGGAAGAATTGTATTCACGTATTTTCCTCTAATGGGGAGTATTTGAGAACCTTCGATCAGCTCAAATTAAGAAGTCCGGATGGTGTAGCCACATTACCGAGCGGGGAGCTCATCATCTGCGATACAGGAAACAACCATTTGGTGGTTGTAGATTCGAAAACAGGGCACTTTTTGAAAATAATTGGCAAAGGTAATTTACAAATGCCAACCAGTGTTGCGGTATACAAACGGAATATTATCGTATCAGATACTGGCAACCACAAAATCAAATTTTTCAATATGGACGGCCAACTCTTACAGGCAATCGGTGGTTTGGGAAGAGGCAATGGCCAGTTTCGATCTGCGGAAGTTGTGACTGTTGATTGTATGGGATTCATTTTGGTTGGGGATGCTGGAAATGCAAGAATACAAGTTTTTCAGCCTAACGGTGACTTGGTAAAGATATTCGGAAGCAACGAAGGGTTCGGCTGGATTTCTGGGATTTGCGTATCTCCTGAACTGGACATTATTACGACAGACAGCAAGAATAGGAATTTGAGAATATTTTAATCAGATAAAAGATGCGAAATATTTTCTGAAAAATAGGAATGTAGGCATTCACGGCTGGCGTCAATGATTTGGTTGGTTTCCGGGTTTTGCCGTGGTCTTCCTTGGTTACTATCTCCAAAACCCGGAAAAGAACTACAACATTTTTTGAAATGACTACTGAATATAGCTTATAGTACACGAGCCACATTTTGCGGTCGGATCGACCACACAATTGCAGTCGCGTTCCAGCGAACTCAAGCCGCCCATAAGAAATACTGTACTACACGTACAGTCAACATAGCCACAATGTTGTGGTTGCCTCAACTGCAAATATGGGGTCCGTGTACGGCCGGGCTAAGGGCTAATGTAATCAATCATTTTTAGCTCAATGTATAAGTTTGAAAATGTCCCTCTAGGATGAAACTGCAGTAACGTTAGTTACAAGTAAAAGTGGTAACAAACAGAAAGTTTCAATTCTATTTTTTCATTGAAATGCTTTGCCACACCAGAAGAAAAATACGCGAACAAGAGTGGCATGTGAATTTGGCAGCAGAAAATCCATACTCATTTGATGTCAAACTTAGAGCATAACATCTCAGATAACTTAGATTTGAATTGCCTATGTGCTCTTCAAATTTCAAGTTTTAAATTCACTAGAATTTGGTATAATTCATTCCCAACATATATTGTCAATTTGTATATTTCCAATAGAACATGTGAAGCAAATTGTTTGTTTTAGAAATATTGAAACTGTAAATAAAACGATGGTTTGACCAAATCTGTTTTAATATTCCTAAAACAAACATGTTCTACTAACAATTCACAAATTGCAATAAATCAACATTTTTTCTGATACTTGCAGGCCACATTTCAAAGAAAAATTCTCAATGATAGCGTTTTTACTTATTGAATGGATTGTCTCATAGTAAAACATTCGAGCCAGTTCTCAAGGAATTCAAATTGTTATAGGTACTACTCGCAAAATGAACAACTTCATTTTGCCTATTCCGAAATACCCTCATTAGAGTTTCTCTAATTCAAAAATATTTTAACAATTTCTAATTTAAATAAGATATATACGTCATGATATGAACTTCAGAGAATTGATAACAGATTTCTTTCGTGAAATAACCTATTATAATTTGTCAGAACAGGAGTATAATTTGCCAGAATAGAAGAAAAAGACACTTCAAAATGCTAGGAATCGCAGGTAAGACCTCGTATCGACTTTTGAGGGTTGTTGTTCATAGAGGGGCAAACAACTGGTTAACGGAAAAACTTGAGTCAAATTTTATCAGAGAAAATTTGACATCCACCCTGACGTCAGGTGCATAATTTGAACATATTTGTATTATCTAACGATATTGCCTGTGCTTGATATTTAAATTTTATTCAATTAAAAAAAAATCTGTTTAAAATCTGTTTTTCCGTTAATCAGCTGTCGCCCCCATACGAACAACAACTCTCAGAAGTTGAGAAACATGTGCGAGCTAAGGACCAACGAGGTCTTACCTTTTAACGTGTGATTCCTAACACGGTTGCAGAATCATCCCAGCTTCAACCAGATAAATTCTCTCGAGAAAAATATCTGGTCGAGGCAGGAATCGAACCCGCGGTCTTCCGATCGTGAGTCGGGCGCACTACCACTGCGGCCAATTCCACAACAAAAGTATCCAATTATATATTTTTCTGTTTCAGAGTGTTGTGGAGAACATGTGTTGAGAATTTGAGCCCTGTCATCATATAGCATGTCTTGAATTAACATTCTCTTGTTAGTCAGAATCTTACTTCATAACGAAATTTTAAAATTAGTCACTATTAATCAAACAAGTGCAAACTGTGGAAAAGAATTTACTGGCATTAATAGTTTTCACTAAATGAAAAGGAAAAGATAACAGATAAGTAGAGCAGAAAATTTATCAAAGAATTAGGTTGGAACATCAACAATTCACATTTCATTGGACACATCTCGTAAGCAACACTTATAAAACTATCAAATATAAACTTAACTGAGTTATAATTAAAATCATTGTTGCTACAAGTTATAAAAATGTAATAACTTAAGGCGATTTTGTTTCAAAAGCCATTGATTTAACTCAGTATTCATCTTCATCTCCAACTCCACCTTCTACTTCATCTGGGGGAGCAAATCCTTCCTGAAATTAAATGTGCATATAAATTCCAATCAGTCCAAAACACATGTCAACAATCAAAAGTGAACATTGTTCCTACCTCAGTTGCGTATAATACATCCAATATTTTTTGGATAATAGGATTTCCATCTTCGCATTCTTGACACATCACTTCAATATCCCGGAGTTTTCCGAAATAGAAATCTCTTTCTTTTTCTAAACCATCAACTGTTGTCTGTAACAGAAATAATAAGTTATAGATGAGGGAAATATAGGCTTCCAAACAAATACCTTGAATTCTGATATCTGATGCGTTAACTCTTCTAATTTACTGCTGTCGCCCGCCATTTTATTTTGAGGAGGTTTGGGGGCAGCTGTCGGTCTTACTGCATTCACTTTGGGCACTAAAATAACATGAAAAGTATGTTAATAGCACATATTTAGCTACAATCAATATGAATTTAGTGCTTTAATGAATGAAAGCTAAGCGCAAGTGCTGCACACAAAGAAACGATATTACATAGAACAACATACCAAGAGTAGTGACTAAACAAATAAATTTCCTAATATCATACTGATTTATGTATTATTATAATATAAATATTTCAAAAGGTTCAAGAACTCTATCAAAACAAAAAATATGTAATATTTTGTTTTACATTCCATATGTTGAGAAACTGTTTCAATTTAAGCACAAAATCATCATGCTGGGCTGACGAGCAATGAAAATTATGAAAACATTTGAAATATATAAGATCCCTCCTGCTATGAATCTAATTAAAACATGTTTCTCAAACCAAATATTGGTATTGAGTAACTTGATTTTTGAATTGAAAAATTAATTTAATGGGGCTCCTATTATGTGTATTTATGCACACAAAATGAAAATTGAATCAAGGAACCCTCAGTCAATAGGCATTCATTAAAATAAAAAACTAGCCAACTTTATGGTTCACTTCTTAAGGTGGGTTAGATTATAATTTTTTATTAGATCAACAATACTCACTGATATCAAGCATCAACAGAATGTTAAACTTTGAATATAAATATATAAGAAATCATTATTGACAATAAATATTTACAGCTATTTTGCCATTTGATAATTGTCATTACTTCACAATTATCACTGATGATGGCATAATTTTTAATGTAATTGAGGTTTGTCTCAATATATAATCTGTGCAGCCTTTATAGAAAATCATTTCGGTTTCGTTTTCTCTGTCAGATCCTCGTCTCAATAGGGTAGTCACTTTCTGGATAATCTTGAGTACCAAGCAGGCGGACCAATAAAAAATGAATTGTAATCTTAATTACATCATGACAACTTAGAAGATTCTCAATGATAAAATCACCTCACAAAGTGATGTAACATTTAATAACATATGCATCTCATGAAACATCATGTTGAAGCAAGAAAAAAAAAACTTGTAAACAGAGACGGTGGGACGGTAGCCTGGTAGGTTGACGTGGATGGTTTGCTCCACCCACTCACTCGACCGCTGTGCGGACCAGTGATTCAAACCGCAAGGCTGGACGATCGATTTTCACGAAAAACTTTTTTTTTCAACAGAGAAAATGAATTTATAAAAATGATTTCTTGAAACAGTTAAAATCAACAATTACTAATTATGAAACTAATATAACAATTTCCAATCATGCTTTGTAGGTGCGTTTTCGAGAGATAAATTTCTGCCCTTCATATCTGCAGTAGTTAATCAAAATATATGTAAACTAGCATATGAATAAGTTGAGAATGAAATATAAAACAAAATAATAATACATTAGGTTGAATTCTTGGAAAAATATTGGAAAAGTGCGCCCTTTTTTGATCATTTATTAATACTTATTATTGAAAAACATACTAGCTCGCCCAATTGGTTTGGACTTAGCTGGAGATGGAGGTTGAGGTGCCACAGGTTTCCTCATCATCAGCGACTGACCCTTGGGCGCATTGGCGCCGCCGGCGCCCATTCCTTCACCGCCGCGGGCTCCTAACGCATCATATTCGGTTCCTCTGTAATTGGCGTCAAAGAATTTCTTGAACCATTGAAGGAACTCAAAATTATCCTGGAATCTACCTTTCACCAACTTATCGATGGGCACAATCTAGAATAGTCAAGAGGGGCATGGCAAAAACAAATAAACAAAAACAATAAAACATTATAAAGCCTCAACTAAACACAATGCTTAATGAGAGAACGATTATTTATCAATCAGGATTTGAAATAGATCAGTAGTTTACAGAAAACAAATTACAAAAAAAAAAGTTTGTAATCTTTGGATATAATAGGCAAATATTAAAGAACATTCACACAAACATATTTACGTGTGCTCACATACCTAGTCATATATCACATTCTTCAAATAAAAACAGCTAGTGGTTAGAACTAGATTTCATAAATATAGACTTTCAACTAAAATCTAGGGATTCTAGGGAGTTTATTTTTATCTACTGGAAAAATTGACTGATTGCACCATCTAAAATAGTAACATTTTAATTTTTTTTTCTTTGTAGTAGTACACCTTTCTATAAAATGGAGTAATTAAAAGAAATAATTGTAAAACATGACCCAATTCATATATTTTCTGTCTTAGCTAAGATATAGCAGCAAATAATATTCTATACTATTATCAGATCTATTTTATTTATTTGTGAAGAATTCTATATGAATATATATTTCGGGGTTGGCTTTCACTTATGGTAGAGTATGTGCGTTAGTTTTTCGGGTGTACATCAAAAGATTGACATTTCACCATCATCTTAAATAGCATTATCAAAAAAAAAATCCTTTGGAAAGCTGTCCTATAAGTGCTAATTTCTTTGTAATTTTTCTCATCACTGCTGTAATTCCAAACCCTGATGATAATATTCAACAAAGACTTATAGATTAACTGGAGAAAGTTGTATTAGAATTTCAATTACATAATCAATCACATCACACCACAAAAAGTGAGAAAAAATGTTCTAAACAGTACATCCAAAAGACTTTGTCTGCAAAATTATTGATGAATAAAAGGATTGGTTCCATAATTCCATTCCAAATGTTTTTAATGCAGTTGCTGAAGCATTTAAAGAAAGGGAAGTAGTGAATTTTCTACGACACAGGTTAGGAAATGTTTTTACACTAATTTGTCCAACTGCCACAAATGTCATAATATAATAATAAAAAAGAAACGTGCACAAATCAGTGTGTTTTTCCCAAACCTATTCTACAGTGACAAAACAGCATACAATATAATCCAAGCTATGAGGTACGGTTATGAATGAACGGTTTCATTTTATACACTCCATTTGACCAATGATCAACTTTTTTTAATTACTTTATGACTGATTAATCATAGTGAGTTGAACAGCAAATGAAAATGACAATTTTCCCAATCGTCAAGATGAATCAGAATATTTACCTGAAATTGTTTCAATGTCACATAAATGAAATGCATCATTTGTAGTTTGTCTCAATATATGAATTTGTATTTAAATATTTTTGTATGGAAGAAGTTGTGAAAATCAATAAAGGTGAGGAAATGAAAGTTGTAACGACAAAAAACATATTAGTGTTACGACACCGGCAGATGAGGGGCGCCATAGGGGTCATGCCCCCAGTATCTCATCGGTCTCTCTAGCGGTGCTTCCATGGAAAAAACTAATGTGGTACATTCTGACAATGTATAAAAAAATTATTTCATGTTATCAACACTCTAATAGGTAATATTAATGTTACGTGAATGTATTCAGAAACTATTTGTTTGAAAGTGACAATGTTTCTTGTTGAATGTTCGCAATCCCATTGTCTAAAAAAAGGTGTTGTCAGATTTGAAATCAATGGAAAAAACAAATTACATTACTGAAGATACTGAAATATTCGGACAAGTTAGTTAAAACAGAAAAATTGAGCAAAAATGAATGAGCAATGAGTATAAAAATTAAAATAAAGGAAACAAGCTAATTTACATGAATTAATGGGTTTACAAAAAGTGAAATTTCAAACATATGTAAACAACAAAAATGAATGAAGACTGTATCAACGAGAAATACATACGTACTAGAAAATTAATATTTATCTCTCTCTCACACTCTCTCATTTATGCAAAATATCTCACAGTCTCGCAGATGTTTCTCGTTCATCCAGCCCATATGTTTTTCGTTCATCCAGCGAGATCAACCTCTTTGTGAGGTATATTGCATAAATGTCTGTCGGATATAATTCAATATCCAGCGTAGTATTAGCCGTGGAAGTAGTTGTTTTTCGGCAGGCATTCACCAGAACCTACAGTGTAGGCAGTTGGGAGAGATTAATATTTCGAGATTTTATTTTGAAATATTCTTTTTCCATAACAAAAATTAAATAAAAAATAATCAAAATAAAAAATGAAAAATTCAAAAAATCAGTGGATACTCATAATAGATTTAGTTTTGTTTTTTCTCATTTTTCATTTTTGCATTTTTAAATCATTTATCCTGATTATTTTTATTTCATTTTTGCCGTATATAAATATTTGACATTGAATTTTCTTGTTAATTCATTTATTAAATCACTTTCAATTCAAGTTACAATAATATGTTTGCTTGACAAGTTAGTGTTCTCATGATTTTTTTAATGTTTATACTCATTTCTTTTTAATTTTTGCTCATCTGAATATTTCAGTCCACTAATTTTTATTTTCAATAATTTTAACGTTTAATTCATTTTATTTGTTCTTCCATAGATTTCAATTCTGCTTATACCTTATTCAGACAATGGAATTCAAAACCTGTAACATATAACTACATAATTTCAGCTGTCCGTATACTTCTCTGTAAATTCGCATATCAATTGAAAATTTTGAATTTCACATGCCTAGAAATTTCTATTAAAATCTGAGGAAATAATATTTGTTTTTGAGAGCATGATCCACCCCCTGAATGTGTACTTGGTATCAAGTCCCAGTCTGTGTAGTTTTACAGACATTCTACAACTGATTCTACCATCAAATGTTATTTCCGATGAACTGAATGCTATTACAAGAATAATGTAACTTAAACATAAGCTGTTGAAACAGTTGAGATATAAAGCAAAAGCTGTGAGATATAAGGTAACCGGATGAAGATGTCAAATCAAATTCAACTTTATCAAATATTCGAATTCAGAGATTCTTGTTTTCAAAAACATGGGTTGAAATATAAAATGCTGGCAACATTCAATCCTGTAGGTAGATAGGTCCAAAGTGAGTGGGTCTATTTTACCCTGCATTACAACCCACGAGGGTTTATTGTGGCTCACACATATTCAAAGCAAACCAGTTAAATCCAACTTCTCAACGAAGCCGGTTAATTTATTTTTTGTGAACGATATTTCAAATCAGATGGATAGATACAAACTCTTCCGAATACCGAGAAACCTTTCCGTGGCAGAACAAGCACAAACTATGTGGAACACCTGGCCAAATTTCCAACAGTTATAACAATAATATAGAAATGAAAATTGGAGTATTTCTAAGGAATATCTCCCTATTTCTCCTAATCCCATACTGGTATAATTTTTATACTTTTACAACTATACAGAAAAAGTCACCTCCACTAATCAAACGAAGTGTACAATCTATCAAAATGAACAACCGTTACCATGTTTAGTCTGTATGTGCGGTTTTGGGGTGGCATGATTCTGTATCAGCCCAGTGCTATGGCCATTTGTGTTTGCCCCAGAGCCGATCATTACGCCACCTCTCGCTTCTAACCCGTTGTAATATCGTCCGTCGTAATTGGCATCAAAAAACTTTTTAAACCATTGTAAAAATTCAAAGTTATCTTGAAAACGGCCCTTTATCAATTTATCTACAGGGATAATCTACAACCAGTATAATAACAGTGAATTGATAGCACCATGTTTATTCCTATATGTTTAAATATGACAAATTTCAAGGTCTGCCACAAATTTGATATTTCATTATATTTGGATCAAATCACTCATTTATAACAAGACAACAATCTCATCAATGATATATGATATGCAGATTCTTACCAGTACACTTTTATTATTTGATTCATGTAGTTAGACCAAAAATAACATTCAAATATGAATTTTCAAGTCTCTCGTGCCAAAGGTACAGGTTTTAATCTCAAATTCCTATTTCTTGATTGATAATTATAATCATCAGCCCTAAACAATATCCTAATGAAGTTAGATTATCTCCCAACCATAATTTTACATTCTTTGTCGGACCAACAACACCAAAGACATCGAATATTATATTATGAAAACTACGCACAATGAAGCTCAAGGTAAAGAGAATTTCTGGGAAAACAATAAAATATGTAAAAGAAATAATAAGTACACTAATGTCACATATTAATGAATATTTCAGAATGTCTGCAAAAAGGACATCACGAACTATCAAAAAATATGTCCTCAGACACATTTCACAAAAATTTTCAATGTTTCATTTAATATTCACTTGACTGCATTTTTAGAAAAATAAAAGCTCTTACTGAGAAGAAGAGAAGTAATAAATCCACAACTACACCAACTGCAGACTTGTGTACGAATATATGTTGCACTAAATGGGAAAAAACACCCGATAACCCTATACTTTGACCTCGGTAGAGCATTTAAAACAATTGATCATACACTCTTACTTGAAAAATTGTACCGTTTTGGAGTTAGAGGTGCTGCAAATAATTGGATTGTTTCATACTTGAAACATAGGAAATAAGTAGTAGTAATGAATCAAAGTGAGTCACAGCCGAGGACAATCTTTATTGGTGTACTACAAGGATCTATCGTAGGTCCACTAAGGGCGAATATCATAGCAAATGAATTTTATAAATGGTGTCTTCATAATGGACTATTAGTAAATGTATCCAAAACTTTTTTATGGCATTTTCAACGGAAAATATGAACAATGATGTCAGCTATTTGATGAAAATCAATAATGAAAGCATCGAACAACTGACTTCTATTTAACTTCTTGAAATTATTGGGTTGTGCAAATATTAAGCAAGTGTGCTTTCTAATTAGGCATCTACCCTTTTACCGTGTTAGGAATCACACGTTAAAAGGTAAGACCTCGTTAGTCCTCAGCTCGCACAAGTTTCTCAACTTCTGAGAGTTGTCGTTCGTATGGGGGCGGCAGCTGATTAACGGAAAAACAGATTTTAAACAGATTTTTAAACATATGGTCAGATGTTTTGGGTAAAATTCAGCTCATATCAATAAAATATTTCTTATGCAGAAGAATATTATCAGGTCCACGGTGGTAGCTCATCCGAGAATATCATGTGAACAGTTATTTTCACAGATACAAATTATTACATTGTCTTCACTTCATATACTGCAAATTACTATAAATATAAAGAAAAAAGAAGCTTTGATGTTATCAAATAGCCCCATTCACAAATGTTCAAGGAGATACTGAGAAAACTTACATCAACCCTTCTCAGACTAATGATAAGACATATTTATCCTCAATAAGGTGTTATAATCACTTTAAGGAACTATTTGGTGCAAGTCACTAATCAGCAAATCAAATTTACTTCAGGAATGCTCTTCATAATTATTTGAAAGAAAACTTATTCTATTCTTTTGATGAATTTTTTATGCGAATGTATGTTCATTATTATATTTTATTATCGTTAACGTGCTGCTGTCTTAATGTTGTTCAACCGTTTAATTGTTTCCATTTATCAATGAACAGATTGTAGTTGTTTCAATACATACTTGTTTTATGTTTATATCTTTGTAGCTTTTAATGTTCTTTAACATACAATTGTTCATTCGCTTATGACCTGATGATAGTTCTTTAATATATACTTATTTTATCTGTATTGCTGTAGCTTATAGGTTCTGTTATGACTAGTCTAATAAGTTTATATAATATATTCCTTTTATATGTTTGTATGGACTTGCGGTGACGAATAAATTTTATTTGATTTGATGATCACCACATGTAGTGTGGCCAATAACTTTGTTAAATTTTTATCACCAGTTTATTTATTGCCACATCAACTTTACGCTATTAGATGATCAAGTTTCAAGAGTGTTGTTGTTGTGGCTCAATAAGAAACTTAATTCAATAATTCAATGTAAACTATGAAAAGTTTGTAAACAATATGAGAATACTGATGAATTTTATAAATATCTATACCACAACTGTAAATCCATTCATAAGTACACAGAATTTCCCCAGTGAATTGAAAAATGTTTTTCTTCAATCGCAATGAAAAACAGTGAAATGTGAAACTATATGGTCATTTTTTTGGCTTCAAGCCAATTTGAGAATAATTATTTTCACTTACCCCATGAGATGGCACTTTCAAAGTATTGTTTCATTTTTTTTCAGTAAATGCCTACTGGAATATATCAATTTCAGGTTCATATACTCTCATTATACATGTGAAATATGAGCTGTGAAACATAGACCGTTTTGTAAAAATACATTACCAATTTTTGTTATTTTTTTCATTGGTAATTGAACTCCTTCAATAGATATATTTGCCAGATTTAAGCAACTTTCTTGCAGCTTATCCCCCAAATAACATGATACAAGTATGTATCATGGAACACCATTTTCAATTTGAAAAAATTTGATTTTTCATCATTTGATATAACAGAGCAATTGATTGAGGAAATAATTCCTAAGCAGTGTTATTGCATAGAGAGTGAATCCTAGATAACTAAGTACCACTACTGACAAGAAAATTATATAATCTCAATGAGCAGATAGTCACTGAATTTCATTTATGGCTAACTCATTACATATGTTGAAATTTAAGTTGAAAGTTGAAACTTCAGCCATGAATAAAAAAAGGAAATATCCAATTCAAATAAAAACATTTATCTGCGCACACATGCAGTGGGTGCACAGATAAATGCTCACACAAATAAGCATACAGGCAAGGAACGCATACCCAACCTCCCACAGCTGCCTACCTAATCTTTCAACAGGACAGAGAGACATAGACTTGGTGTCGTATTTTAACATTGTACAACAAAAGAAAATTGATGACAATTTTGATGCTTCATAAATATATAGGTTCGTATAAGTTCATATCATTTTCAACACCTCCGTATTTTGTATGCATGTAACACATCATTAATTAAATGCTATAGTATTGATAAAATCAATTCTTTAATAAATGTCTAATGCACTATTTAATTTACTAAATTCCGTATCATATGTTTTATAGAAGTTGATATGTAATTGATTTTTGTCTAATTCCGGACTACAGGGGGTCTGTAACATACAATAAAATCCAACGAATTGGATAATTCAACACCGCTTTGCAAAATGTTTACCAGATATTCGCGGGTCAACTGTGTATGTGTTTATTACTGGAGTTTTTTCCCCAACCCCAAATCGTTATTTTAAACTGGTTTAATCTTCCTCTTGAAGATGATCACTTGGTGATCGAAAGACATGTCGAGGTGTTAAAAATAACGATTTGGTGTTGGGGAAAAAACTCCAGTAATATTAATTACTACACCAAAGGTTCCAAACAGTGCATCATATGTGTATGTGTGTTTGAAAAAGGATCATGGAATTTCCCTTTTAACATGATTATGCTACTTTTCGTCAAAGGGAATAGGCATTTCAATCTGATTCCATTGACCTCAGTTACGTTACACTATCAAGATGAATGTTTTCGTATTCCAACTGAAAGTACCAATCATAAATTACCCTTTGCCAAACAATATGAATTATATCAAATTTGTAACAGTGCAATTTATTTGGAACTGAAGTGACTATAATGCTTAGTTCTTACCTTATCTACAGACATTTTCTTGAAGCTGGCTTGAAGAATCTTAAAATTTTGAATATACTCATGCTCAAGATTGGTTCGAAATTTCACCCTTTTCAATACCACTGATCCAGGAAAGAGCATATCCATGAATTGGCAATACGCTGCACCAGTGCACAGTTCCTCTATTTTACCAAAACTACTCTGAAGGCATTCGTTCACCCAAGCCAGCATGTCATGGCGAGAGAGATTTTCAGATGTGACATTCGTTGAATAAACGTTGACCGCCATGGCTGTAGAGAGAATAACATTTATTTACAGCTCAAGCTCCTCGTTTAACTACACATTAATGAAACTAAAACCAACTAAAATGCAGTTGGTACAGATCAAAAATGGAATAAACCAAGATAAAAATAAGTTACTTTAAACATATATACAGTAGAGTCAAAACAATTTTCAAGTGTGAAATCCAATCAGTTACAGTATTACGGAACAAAAGATTTCAAAAAAATCATCTGATGATGTTCAAGCTGGTTGATAATATATCAGATGCTGAGGGGCTGTAGTACGATCTAGATATTTTTTCTAAATGGTGTAGCGTCAACTTATTACACTTAAATCCGGAAAAATTTCAGAAAATCACTTTTTCAATGGCAGTAATTTTATTGATTTTCCATATAGAATCAATGGAAAGATGTGAAGGTAGCAGAAAAAATCAATGATCTAGTAATTATTTTCAACCCAAAAATGTCTCAAGCCAGTAAAATGTTGAGCTTCATACTGTCTTCTACTCAAGACCTGAGTATTGAATCTATAAAAATCATTAACTCTACGCAAGGTAGATGTATAATTGAAAATAACACCATATTTTATATGGTAGCCTCACTATAATATCAACGTGGATTTGTTAGAGGGTTGTCAAAATAAGTTTATAAGGTAATGTGCTTATCAGCTAATGTTCAATAGAGACAACTAATCACAAATACTAAGCATATTGAATATGAATACTTTATCTCAAAGCAGACTAAAAACTGGTCTCATATTGGCGCATGATGGCTATATTGATTGTCCTGAAATAGTCGACGTTCTCTTTCTGTAAATCCTAGAAGGAACAGAAATATTGATATTTTCAAAATTACTTTTCGTAGAACAGATTATGGTCAAAATGAAACAATTTGTAGAATTGCATGTATGCAAAATTAAACAATTTGCAGAATAATTTCATTTCGTAGAATTTGTTTCGTTTCGTCAGCAAATCATTACCACTCTAGCCTGGAATTGTATGATTCACCTTTGATGTCTTTCAAATGATCTGTTAGAAATGTATGATGTATTACCCATTCTGTACACATATGTACATTTATAAAACTAATTGCAAATTGACTTGTAATAATTCCCATACTCGAGCTCCATAAAAACCTTGAAGAAGGTCCAAAGAATCCCAGACCTGTTTTATTAGCTTAAAATATGAGACAAGGAACATGTTATCAGAATTTGTTCTAATCTATAAATATAACAAGAATTTAACAGATTCCACATTGATGAAACATATTAAATGATTGATGTAAGAGAGCCTAGAAATTTTATTTCGGAAAAAGTAGGGCTTGAATAGAGTACATATGGAATTGAGAAGTATATTCCAACAAAGAAAATGACAGATATGATGTTCTAATCAAAAACCCTAATTTGAATAAGAAGTACTTGGTCAAGTTCCCATTTTTGGTCTGAAATTTCTTCAGGATGATCAATTATAATGTAATACAAAATGAGTTGTAGTTATGAACAGAAACTGACAGGAAATTCAAGTAGTTAGGAAAATAATAAAAAACCAATATTTTTCAATATGTCTTTTTTCAACTGAACCATTTAAAAGAAATGTCTCATACCTAAATTTATCTGAATTTAAAGCATATTATGCAGAGGGGCTTGAACTAATCTCCAACATTTTTTATTGTTACTTACTGTATAAACTTTCAGAGATACAGCCATTGAAAAGTTGTTAATATTGAAAATTGTTTTTTTTAAGGACTTACATTCACCGATAGAAACTTGTTGGTTTCAAGACGTATGTTGCAGGAAATGAAATTGTTACCCAACTTAGCTTGATATCAATTACTAAACTTATCTTGATATCAATTTTGAAAACCATAATATTCTATTTCAATATTGTAATGTTGCCAAAACAATTTGAAAAAACTTGTTGAATTGTCATTTAGTATGAAAAATACTTTCATGGAAACAGAATAAAACAAAAAAATAATGTGGTAAGTGAATGAATGTCTGTAGCATGGATTCATTAAAAGGTGGTCTTTTATCAAATTTGAGTCCCTGAACTTTTCAAAGAACATATCTGCAAAAAACGATGTGCCAAACTTCGATTTCATATTCCTCAGCATAAATATACATAAAAATTCATAAATTCATACCAATTGTGAACTCAAAAACGCCTTACATTATTAATCCAAAAGAACTTCATGCATTGTGGTTAATATTGTTATTCACATGTCAATTAACTGTCAACAAATGTAACAGTAATTACACTTGGTTTTTATTTATCTCAATATTTTCTAATTAGAGACTTCACTTATATATTACAAGTCACTAATACACTAATTGTGTTCTTTGAATTACTCCACCTATATGTTTATATATTTTCCTATTTCCATTTCATTTTTACTATAAGTAGGTATATGTCCACTGAATCCATCCAATACCACCTAACCACAACATAGATAAAATTTCATGACAGATTAAAAAAATAGCTAAATATGAATAATGGGTGTGGTGAAAAATTATTGATGAAGGATTTTTGAACATCTCAGATAGTTTGATAACTGAAAGTGAAAAAAGTTACATACCGGTTTTTTATGTCCCGTTAGAGAATAAGAACAAACTTTACCCAACCAACGCGTTGCTTCTAAAAATATATATCCCAACAAAACAATGTATATCCATCCAAGAGATCAAAACTGAATGTCGATATGAAATGTGAATGAACAAAATTGAAAATGAAAAATAAAATGAAGGCGGGGACGAATATTCATCATTTACGACAGAGTATATATTCTGTCAAATATGGAATATGTCACTACAAAATTCTTGTAACCATATTTAAAGTACTAATAAACTTAATTTATCTTGATATAATAAGGCTTTTTACCAATTATTTGACATACCTGTATCACAAATTCAAATAGATGTATAGGAACACCGCCGGCAACTCAACTTTTTCACCCTTAAATTTTCGGCTTGGTAGCCATTGCCATTCCACTAAGAAATTTACAGAATTCCAACCTCAAATAAAAATTTTCGATACCATTAAAGGTGTATTCTAAGAAGAACTCATATCCTCTGTAACGACAACCGTCAGTTTTCTGATTGGTGAATTTAGATATATGATGGAATTGGCCGATACTTGATGAAAATCCATAACTAACGTTTTCAAAAAACACTTTATTGTGAGATTTTCACTAAAAAGAAATTTTAGATTTACTTACTATTTGTCTATCTCAAAATTATTTCCAGTTTGACAAAAAATTATATTCATGCAGTGAAGGATTAACAATGGAGAACCCTTTGAGCCCTTTGCTGGCTGAATTTTCATGGATAACAGAGTATTAAATCCATATTAATTGAACGATTGCTCAAAAACGTTACTCAAGAGTAACGTTGACTGACGATGCTGACTGAGTACAAACAGGCGATGAAGGTATCTCTATTAATCTCTGAAAATCATTGTAATTTCGTTTTGCTGGCTTGGCTTTAAAGTTGCCTCCTCTCGACAAGATATCGTCGATACTGGGTGGTATGCATAAAGTGAAGCAGTTACTACTGCTCCAAGTATCTACTTGGCAGCTGAAGTATCTGCTACACCAATGAAGTTTTTGCTACGCTTTAATAGTATATACTATTTTTTTCAATGTACTTAGAAGAAAGTACTTCACCGCAGAAACATCTATTTTAATTTGAAGAATTTCGGATGGTCACAATATTGAGATGCAAAGGTAAAATAATGGTGGCTTTTATCGATCATATAACGATGATATATATCGTTATCAAGTATGTACATATACCCTCAATAACTATCATACCACTCTCACATTTTTTTTTGAGGTTCAATAGGAAAAATGTTTGAATGATTGGCGAATTATCTCATTGACGGCACCTTAGAAATAAGAAGTGCTGCAACCCAGGATCAAGGTCCGTATCTAGTATCGAGATGTACTACTTCACTAAAGAGGCGATATACCCAAAAATATATATCTGAAATGAATTTCCAGACAGATGAATTGCTTCTTGATGCTATAAATGAAAGAGCAGATGTAAAGCAAATACCTGGTGATTGTACCCACGTATGAATAATTTCAATTTTGTTTTCAGTGAAGCAATATAAATTTTTTACAGTTTCTGGTTTAAATCTCAAAATCCAATGTAAATATCCGAATCCATACGTTTGTTTGAAGGTGGGTGACAATGTTTCGTGGTGCATCGCATTAGTTCGGACTTCTATTGTCTAATATGATATAAATTGATTTGAAATACCTGAAAGAATCCGTAAAAAATTAAAAAGATTAGCTGAATATCAAGGAAAAAAACTGAAATTACAATGAGATAAAATACAACCAACAACCAAAAAATTGAAATATTAACACAAGATGAAAATTAAAAAAAGTAGGTATATTAAAAATAAATGAAAATTAAAAATTGAAAGATTTCAAACCAACTTACTTCACGACGTTTCGACTGTTAGTATCCACAATCGTCTTCGGGTGATGACCTCAAATTAACCTTAAATTAAGTGACAAGTTTATTGAATTTTTTTATAATAGTTGAACCCAACATAAAAATTCTAAAAATAACATTAAAAGAGAAAAACGTCTTCCAACAGACGATGCATCCATTTTCCAGATGCAGAAAAAACTCTGGAAGTAAATTAATTTCTTCCTTAACAAGAAAGTCTTCATAGACCAAATATAATACAAGTCATATAAGGCAGAAATATACGTAATAACCAAGTCATCATTGAATATGAATCAATTGAAACCATCCAAAACCATAATATAATAGAGACCTGAATCAGGACTTGAACTAGAATAAAAAACCCATGCCCACAATTAATCAATCTCAATTGATGAATTTTAAATATATCTGTATTATATGCTTCATAACTCTTAATACAAAACAAGTACTTTTCCCAATCATCAGAAATGCAATACTCTTCTCGACGCGCGTTTCACCAACCATGTTGGTTTATTCAGAAGATGAATGAAACTGAACAAAGTTGGTGTTTTCAGGAAATGATGAAAACTGAAAACGATAACTTGGTTGATGAAACGCGTGTTAAGAAAAGTAATGCATTTCTGGTGATTGGTTAAAGTGTTTGTTTTGGATTCGTTCTACGCCAGAAGTTCCAGTTTTACCTTTTATTCATAACTCTACTTGAACAAACCAAATTGCGATTTCAACTTCAAAGTAAAAACTTTTGAAGCAGCAATAATAATCCTGGTTTGAAATTGGTAGTTAGACCCTTTTACTTTATTTTTACAGCTATACTGATTGCCTATAGTCGATGTTCATATTGAATATTACTGTCAACTTATTGAGAGAAGGAATATAAAATTGTTTTTTAGTTTTGAGTCACAGCACATTTCCCAAACTTTGGCAAAATGAGAACGAAATTACTGGAATTTCATTTTATAACATTTAAATATCATGCCCTGTAATTTATTCAACTAAAATTGATCTGGATCTTCAGTGTAAAAGTGTTTGATGTTACATCTGTGATTATGATCCAAACTGATATATTTTGTAATTATTGTTACATCAACATGTAGGATTTTTACAGTCTTTTGAACATATTCTTGATTTACAAAATTCCATCATAGGAATTTTTTCAAAAAATCAACAAGACAAGAGTTTGTCTATCTGTATTTGAATACAGATAGACTAACTCAAATTATATTTTTAATATTCAGTTTATTCATAATGAAAAGAGAAATGAAAATTTCTATGTTTTTTACCACTTTTATTTGTAACTAACGTTACTGCAGTTTCGTCCTATATGGACATTCTCAAACTTATACTATAAACTCTGAGTATAAATCAGTTTCGCCCTATTTGGACATTCTCAAACTTTTACAACTAACTCTGAGTTTATATGGACATTCTCAAACTTTTACAATTAACTCTGAGTTTATATGGACATTCTCAAACTTTTACAATTAACTCTGAGTTTATTGTATAAGTTTGAGAATGTCCATATAGGACGAAACTGCAGTAACGTTAGTTACAAATAAAAGTGGTAAAAAACATAGAAATTTTTATTTCTCTTTTCATTATGATCTCCTACCACGTAGGAACGGCCACATGCATCAATTTATCAATTTATTCATCTTTCATCTAGAAATTCATATTGGTTTACGTGATAACAAGAATGTAATAATCAATAATTTCCTCTCTTTTATTTGAAGGTCTCCACACAGTAGAAAAACCGTCTCCATTTTAATTGTTTACTATTCTGTGGTGTCTCAGCACAGAATAGTAAAACGGAAACCGAGCTGAACGATCGGGCAACCTTGCATCTATAAATCTTATCGGTGGTTAGAGGGCTAAAGGTAAAATCCCTATGTAGTTGTTATGATTCTTGATGTTTGGATATCGAACCGGTAAACCAGTACTTTAATCTTTGACGAAGGCAGTCGTTTCTTTTTAGAACATGGAACTTCCTCCAATTTTACCACCTACGGAAGATGTATTGAAAAAGTATCTACTCTGTCCTGAAAATCTTCCCATCCATCAGTATGAAAAAAATCAAAAATTTTGGCCCAGAGAACCAACTCCAAAAGAGCTTTTATATTATGAAGGATCTGCTTTATCTACCACTTTGAAAGTGAGATAATACTCCAAGTTTACTTTGTTCGTATACAGTGTGTCCCAGAACTTGCTTTAGAAAAAAGCTGAGTCTAAAAGTATCACTGGATAGTATTTATAGTGGGTTTATGCAGTGATACCTAAGAACTAAACCCAGTAACTAAGGCTATACCCAAGAAAAGTGTCCAGTTTATGCACCTGTTATCATAACCACAATTATTCTTCATTTGATATTTCACTAAACTACTGAAAAAAAATCGTGTAACCAAAATATGTTCAACATTCTTTTAATCATCTTTTTGAAATTTCTGGAGTCAATGAAAGATGTAAATATTTTAATTTGTTGCTCATTTTCTTTTTGATATAAGTTTTTAATGAAATGTTGCTCAACTGTCTAGGCATAGTTTCCATAAACTATCTTTGATTCCACCTTTTCCAATAGATATGTTTATACAAAAAAATTAACAATTAAGAGAAGTTGGCCAACTTTCCACTATCCCAATTTAATGTTGCCAATTTTCTCATTACAAATAGTGTGCATTTTTTCATTTATTTACAATTTGAGGTACAAACAGGTAAAAACCCAATAAAGTATCCACTAATAAATTTTACAATAAAAAAATTGGTTTCCTAACAATCAGTAACAATAGATAACAAATACCTAATTATTTGTCCACCTACTAATTTTCTCACTATAAATAGTAGGCATTTATTCATTTACTTACAATTTGAGATACAAACAGGAAAAAACCTAATAATGTATCCACTAATAAATTTTATAATGAAAAAATTGGTGTCCTAACAATCGATAACAATGGATAACAAATACCTAAAAAACTGTTCACCTATTAATGATTATAAAATAAAAATTTACTGCTTGAAAATAATTTTGCAAGTTGTCTGCAAATGGAAACATTCAGAATATTTCAATCCCACAGGCAGATCATGTGAGATACCTTGAAATACAGTTGGACAAGACTTACCTGGCAAAAACATATTTTCACCAAGAGAAAGCAACTTGGTATTCAAATGCGAAAACTGTACTAGCTCATTGGACGAAAGTCTCAACTGTTCAAAACAACGATTATTTGACTATTTGATTTCAAAGGCTTTTTATTCTCTGAGTGAATTTCTGGAAAATGACTGATATTAAAAGTGATTGTATTAAAAAAAAAATTCTAAAACGAGGCACACAGAAATTTATGAGATAACACCTCCAAAGCATCCACATTACTGTGCAGAGATTTATATAGAAAAACTATTCCAGCAAGTTTTCTGCGTAACTTAAGACTTTCAATATTGAATGTCATGGTAAGAGATTCATATAGAATACCTTTATCAGGATAGATACCATAAGATAGGAAGTAAATAAACTTTAGGAAACGACGTTGAACTTCATCAGTCAATGTATTATAGCAATTCTAGTATGGAGACCATAAAACAAAGCTATATTCTAACTTTGACCTTACGTAAGCTACATAAAGAGCAATAAGAGCAGATATGTTTGAATAAGATCTACAATTGTGAAATATAAAGCCATAAACTCTCAATGCTTCACTTACTTTCGATCTAATGTGGTTGGTAAAAGACAAACTTTGATCAAAAAACACACCAAGATTTTTAATTGAGTTACAACATGACAGTCAAATGGTATCTAGTCATTAATTGTACTCGATGACTGACATTTTCCTTCTATGAGAGACTACTTTACATTTGGATGCATTAAGATATAGTTTGTTAACTTCACTCCAAGTCTGTATATTTTCTGTTGTTGCAGTGTATTACGGTCTTTGATGATTTCAACTGCTAAATAGATTTTTAAATCATCTGCAAAAAATAACTTATTACAGACGATATAATTACTGAGGTCATTCATAAATAAAAATAGAAGTGCTCCAAAATTCGATCTTTGAGACACCCCAGATGAAGGATTATAATAAAAAGAATCATAGCCGATATATGATACAAACTGTTCACATTGAAGTAAGAAGGATTTAATGAAAAGTTCTGCTGAATCATGGAAAACAAATTGTTGGAGTTTATGTAGAAGGATCATGTGATCAAGTCGATCAAATGCTTTAGCAAAATCAGTGAAAATCACATCAACTTGACTACGATTATCTAAAAGATCACCAACATTTTGAGTCAATATATTTAAGTTTGTTATGGTGGATCTATTAGATATAAATCCATGTTGTTGCAGATGTATGATATTAGAAACTGAGGAATGTACGTTATTATAGATGACAATTTCGATAAGTTTAGCAAAGTTTGATAAGATTGAAATAGGACGATAATTCTAAATACCAAATGGATTTCTAGACTCAAAAATGGGACAAACTTCCATAATTCAGGAAAAGTATTATTTTAACTGTAACACTGAAAAGTGTCATAAAGGGATAGACTAAGACACCAATGCAATCTTTTATCAAATAGGATGGTATCTTCAATTTTCTGATGTTATACTTACATCGAATTTGTCATATCTTCTTAATCAATCTTTTGATATAAGGAGGGAATGGAAAGATCCAATATTTAACCAGAATGTGACAAATCAAGAAAATGGCTATGTTGTGAGTGAGAGAGTGTGTGTGTGCTTCCTCCTTTAGGGTAATGGATAATTAAATGTGTGCGTGTATTTTCTTCTGTAGGGTAATTGATAATTAAACCACAAGTAATTGTTTTCAATAATGAACATTCTATGTATCTGTTGAAAAATATCTCCAAAAGCAAATTGAGCAAATAATGATATCTTGTAGGTTCAAAGGGATCCTAGTACAGGTGAAATAATGGATTTCTGTGAAGTGCCAATCCAAGCTGTTGGTGCTACAGCAAAAAATTCAATGTCTATGACAAGAATTCCTGCTCCTCCTTCAGAAGCAACCAAAGGCAATGCTTCTTATATACCATTCTGGCCTGGAAGTTTTCCGTTACCCAAAAGTACATTAAAAGAAATTCAGGAGGATGATGGTATATATTTTTCGAATACTCATGAGTGTGAGGCTTACCTTTTTTATTTCCATAGATTCTTCCCTATTGACTGTGCCTCCTGGTTTTGACAGAGGTTTAGTGTTTCTGGAAGATGGTAGTACTGTGTGGTCTTCTGAATACGGCAGTGAAATTGAAGTTAAAGTTGACCCAACCACCAATGTGATCAACTTGCTTGATATTATTCAACAAGAACACAATTCATTAGGTAATACCATCGACATATGTCGGTGGGTAATACTAATATTTGACTTTACAATAATGAGCTCATTATCATTATTATAGGAAATAAGGAAGTACCTCAGAAAAAGCAGCAAAACAAGGATAACTCTACTGTCAAGGCATCAGAATCACATCCAGAAGAAGATGAAATTATACCCAAAGAGGCGCCGGTCATAAATATCAGTACTGCTCCTCCGTTAAACTCGATGAAAGGAAGTGATTGGGCTGTTTTACTAGATGCTTCTAAACCCATAACCAATTTTCGAGAAAGGCTTCCAGTAATGGCGATAGAATTCCCGTTCGAATTAGACATTTTTCAAAAACTGGCAATCCTACAGCTTGAGCAACACAATCATGTATTCGTTGCTGCACATACATCTGCTGGTAACGACAATACCATGTATTTGTTCTGTTAAATGTTTATAATATATTTTTGCTATGTAGGTAAAACTGTTGTGGCCGAATATGCCATAGCTTTATCACAGAGACACATGACTAGAACAATTTACACATCACCTATAAAGGCCTTATCCAATCAGAAATATAGAGATTTCCAAGCTAGGTTCAAAGATGTTGGTTTGATAACCGGCGATTTTCAGATTAATCAAACGGCATCCTGTTTGATTATGACAACAGAAATTTTGAGGTCCATGCTTTATTGCGGTAGTGATATCACCAGGGATTTGGAGTATGTTATTTTTGATGAGGTAATTTTTAATTCTGCAAAGCAATATTTTTCAGAATCTTTATGTAGTAAAATATATGTTTTGAGGTTCACTATATAAATGACAGAGAAAGGGGACATGTATGGGAACAAGTATTGATAATGTTACCTGCTCACGTCTGTGTTGTCCTTCTCAGCGCTACTGTTCCAAATACAATTGAGTTTGCAGACTGGCTCGGTAGAACTCATCAGCGCAAGGTTTATGTGGTGACCACAACTAAGAGACCTGTACCGCTTCAACATTACTTGTATACTGGAAAAGGAGGCGGATCACGTGATAACAGATTCAAAATATTGAATGCGGACAGGTGGATACCAAATGGGTGAGGATGAAAAAATTTCACTTCAAAATAAAGTATTCATGCATTAATTACATTATACCAAATTTCAATTTTTTGAGTTGACCCCTTCAAAAAATAAAAGGGGGGGACATTAAGAAATGCACTGTATAATGTAATGAGTTTCACAAAAGTTACCTAAATTGAGCTATAACTGTTGCATTTATTATTAAATGTATTCTTTTCTCAGTAGAAAATATTTGTACTTTATTGAAATACCAAGTATATATGTAGCATGCAATACTAATAATTAGTGAATATTTTTCATATGTTTTAAACGTTTTATAGGTTACTAATAATGAATTATATTTCATTTGGATATTTTACCCTTCCAAAAGTATGAAGTAAAAATTGTAAATGGAAAATTCAGTGGCATATTCAGCGAAGAGGAACAATAAAATAATCAATTGTGACTAGACTCGAAACTTTCTATTATGAAATCTTAAAATTCACTGTTCCCCATTCTTCCTTCACCTAAAAACATCAGATGACTATGAATTATCAATGTAATGTTTACTATCTTGTGAAAATCTCGTTAGATTATCAATTTAATATGGAATTTCATTATTTCACTATTATTTGAAAGACATTATTTTTGTGGAGGAGTCAAAATGTTCCTTAATACTTTTTAAGTTTCTAGCCATGCACAATTGAATGAATGAATATAGATCAGTAAAGAATCTGCTGAAGTATAATAAAGGGTAAACTGAAAAGTTTACACTGAAAAATTACTGTGTTATATAAACGAAGAAAAAAAGAGAATTGAAACTTTTTATGTTTTTTACCACTTTTATTTGTAACCAAAAGCAAAGCATCTCTTAAATACATCAATGCTCATTCCCTCTACTTCATACCTGCCATAGAGTATGATATAATAGTTGTCATTAACCTAACCATTAACCACTCAAAATCCACCAGTGTTGACAGAATATACTGAAAAAATGCACCTCTTACCTAATTGATCAATTGCTCTTTAGAAGCGGGGATTTTTCCTGAGTGCCTGAAGATTTCAAAAATTGTGCCAATTCCTAAGAAGGGAAATGACACTGACATACAAAATTTCAGACCAATTTCCCTTATTAGCTCATTATCAAAAGTATATGAAAAATATGTTTCAAGCCTAATGATAACTTTTTTCAATAAATGGGGTCTATTTAATGTGAACCAATTCGGTTTTCGCAAGGGATTGTCCACAATTCAAGATATTACACAGTTCCTCAACAACGAATACAGGGACTTGGATGAAGGTAAAAAGACGCTAGGGATTTTCGTAGACTTAAGTAAGGCATTTGATCTGGTAGATCACAAAATTCTCCTAACAAAGCTTGAAATGTATGGAATCAGGGGAATAACCTGCAAATGGTTTGTAAGTTACTTAGAGGGTAGATACTACTATGTAGAGGTTAGCAGAAATAAATCAGAATCTAAAAATTGTTCCCTCGGGGTTCCTCAGGGTTCTATATTAGGTCCACTCTTATATATAATATATGTAAATGATTTTTATAGTGATCAGTTCGTTATGTATGCTGATGACACATCTTTATTGATAACTCAGGAAAATATTAAAGCCACAGTTAATAAAGCATCTGATGAAATAAAAAGAACCCAAAAGTGGTTCTCAGACAATGGTCTCTTGTTAAATGAAAGAAAAACTGTGCTTTTACGTTTCAATCATTCAGGAACCACTTCAGATTACAGTTTACTAGTAACGTTAATTAATGGATCGATTCAACAACAAGGGGAGACAAAATTTTTGGGTTTGAAGATAACAGAAAATCTCAAATGTAACAAGCATATTGATACGATTTGTAAAAAGATATCCTCAATATCTTATTGTATTCAACAACTATGCTGGATTGTAAATAGATCACTCTTATTAATGTACTACCATGCATACTTTCATTGTAACATTTCCTATGGTATTATAGTTACTCAAAATTGTCCAACATTTTATGCCGATTTTAATAACGATGCTGTTGCATAAATAGCAGATTATTTTAGGTTTTGACTATTATATATTATATTATCTATGTAAATTGTATATTGTGCCTCTAAGTGCACGGAGTTTGTATTTCATTCAAAAGAATGCAAAACAAATTCATGGACCATCAATTTTATGACAGGTTCATAAATGTATCGAAGGTTCAGTTCACAGACACTGATAATTTGATGATAGAAAACGATTTCAAATATAACATTAGAAATAAAAATAGCACTAACAACTTTGAAATGATGGGTATCGAAACAGATATGGCATTAGGAAGGGCATTGAAAATCATAAAATCAGAATTTTCTAAAGAAGGTAGCTTGTGAAATCCATATGAAGTAAAATAAACGAAAATTATATTTTACTGACTAGGACAGATAAAGGCAACACTGCAGTTGTATTCCATAAAACCCTAGATTTCTTGAATTTAGGAAATTTTGAAATATTGAAACGTGATCCAACCAATTATTTCCAAAGACAAGTGAAAGATTTTTTGAAAAATTCAAACAAACTTTTTAACGTAAGGGAAAAATTCAAAATACCATAGATGAACCCCCCAAATTTCAAATTTATACTCACTGATGAAATTGCACAGAGTTATCCGATTAGACAAGTGGTTTCCTTTATCACTGCACCATCAGTGAAATTATCAGAAATCAGAGAATACATATGACCTGATAAATAAAATACAGAACATAAATTTACCAGGCAACGCAAAATTACCCAGTTATAAAACAAGAAATCATTAACCTTTTGTCCTTATGTCTCAAACAAAATTATTTTCAATTTAACAACAATATTTATTCCTCTTCGAAAAATGTAATTATGGGAAAACCATTGAGCCCCTTGAAATTTTCATGGATAACCTAGATAAGTCGATTTTCAAACATCCTTTGATCAAGTGTTTCTTGTATTGGCATAGATATGTGGATTGGCGTTTTGGTATGTTTCAAGGTACTAAGAGACCATTAGATATTTTTATAGGGGTGATAACTAAATTTATAAAAACATTAAATTCACTATTGAAGAAGAAGCAGACAACTTAAACTCAATTTCTTGGACATAAAAATTAGTAGAATGAACAACAAACATGATTTTTCAATTTATCACAAACCTTCCCATACGGATATCACTATACATTATGATTCTATCCATCATATCATATCAATACAAAGTAGCATCTTATAATAGCATGATTCACAGATTAGTCAATGTTCCTCTTTCAATAGATAATTTCAATAAAGAACTTAATAAAATCATGCAAATTGCAGTAAACAACTGATTAAAAGCTGAATTACTAGACAAAATACTTTACAAAAAAGTCTACGCAAAAGCGATTCAAAACGTTTTTCCTATTGATGAGTTAGATCAGGGGTCTCCAAACTACGGCCCGCGGGCCAAATCCGGCCCGCGACTGTCATCAATCTGGCCCGCGACAGCCAATGATCACCTAATTGTTGTTACTATTGCTGTGATAAGTTGAAGAAGAAAACACAGAATGATAATTACTCGGTTTTATTTACTTGCAAGGTAAAACTTAACGACAGAAATGATGACAAAGAAAACTTAACTT